GGGGGGGAGGGGGGGAGCAAAGAAAAATTAAAAGTATTCGTAACGGCTTTAACCCAAACAACAGTCAATTAGGGAGAAAAGTGGGTACCTGTTGAAAGCAGGAAGGGTTTGCCTAAAATAAACTCACTTTCACGTTCAGTATAAATTGCAGCTGGTCTTTTGGAAACTGCTTGAACTTGATTAATGTTTTTGCTTGGTGCTCTTCTTGCCGGGATGTTATTTCGAGGTCTCTGTTTCTCACACCTGGGCGGATTTGTCGCTGCCTGTCGTACGCCATCCTGAATTATCCGCTTATCTCTGTCATTATCACTGCCATTTGACAGTTCAGGAGCAGCAGCAGCCTCAAAAGACTGGATTTGGACGACAGGGAGATAGCCCTCATTCGTTGGAAAATTTACCCGGTTATCTCCCTTTTGGGAGAATTCTGCTCGAGAAAATTGTTCAGCTGCTTTCCGAATTGTTTTCGTAATTTTGTTAGCCTTCTGGTCCATATTGAAATTGGAAATGTAGTTGGATAGGGCAATATTCTTCACCTTTGGGACATTACCCCTCTTTGTAAAGGACTTTGTTCGGGGAAACCGTATGACTGTGTTTAAATCCGAACCCATTTTCCCGTTATCATTTTCAGTTGTTGTCGGACCAGAAGTGTGACCAAATCGAACCACAGTCTTCGCCCTTGAAGTCTTTTGAGCTCTTACCCAACTCTTCTTTTTCTTAAGCTTGGTACATCTGATAGAGTTCACGTGATCAGATAACTTTGGATTCACCCTTTTTGTGGGAGCATCACAAGAAGGATCAGCACCGACGTGACGCGTTTTGAATCCCCATCTCTCCAGCGACACAGGGGGCAAAGGTTCTTCTTTGGACATTAATCTGTTTGGTTTCCGAACTAACGTTTGGGATGTCGTAGATTTTACCCCTACGGACGACTTTTGCCTCCTGCAGACTTTACCTCTCAGATTCAGAAAAGAGTTGGTTTCGAAAGTGCCCTGTCTTTGCGACGGTTTTGGCGGGGAATGAAAAACTGTCTTTAGTCCAATCTCTCGTGAGGTCCGCTTGACTACTGTATCAGAAGACTGGATCGTATTTGGGTGAGGGCCAGAGACTTGGGCACAGGCAGAGACCAGGCTATACTGGGCAAACACCGACGTACCCTTCTCTTCTACAGCATTTGAGTCGTCGATTGAGTTGGATATTTTCTGAGGTGTGATGGTTGGACTTTGTTCAACCTCTTGTTCCATCACAGTTTCCATTGTGTTTTGACGCGATAATACTCGTTTCCGCAATTGAAAAGAAGATTGCTTTTCTTGAAACCCTTTGACTTGACCATTCTCTGGACAACCCACGCGGAAACTGACGTTGTCTGTCTTTGAAGCGAAACGGCCCTGCTGGATATCGCCTAGAGAAGACATATCTTCCTGCATTGACCCTAAGTCTACTACATTCACGTCTTTCTCTGTCGCCGCAGAATCCGTGAAGCTAGGCACGTTTTGGGCATTGCTTGAGGAAATTGTCAACGATCTCTGAAGACTGTATTGCATGACAGGGTACGATGCGCTATGAACCTGTAGACTTAATGCGCGTCTGTAATATTTACTACCTAGGTGGGGCATTCCTAAGGGTCCTTTACTCTCCTTCTTCCTTTCTCTAGAGCGCGATCGATCTCTAACTGATTGCTTTCTATTTGCGCGCGCATTTATTCCCGGAGACATGCTTCTCCTGCCACTTTTTGAACAAGTGTCTTTTCTTTTTTTCTCCACAATTCCATCTGAAGATTGGCTGGCGCGTTTTTTGTCCACTGTGGAATCGCCAGCTTCTAACTGCGTCTGGACTTGACCTTTCATCCTTTCTTCTGCAAAGTCCCCCTCGTGTCCTGACCTTGGCCGAGAGTTAAGATTTTCTGATAACGCATGGTTAGTCTTTACTCTGTGAGAAACACGCGTTCTTTCTCGGACTGCTGATCCCTGATACGCGTCGGAATCCACGAGGGCTGGGACAGGCAGTTTGTTGTCGTCTCCGCTTACGTTTGCACTCTTGCCGTAAATCTCGGAATCACGACAAATAAGCAGCTCTGGACAGGATGAGATCCTCGCCACGGTGGCGTTTTTCTGTTCAAGGCAAACCGAAACAGACCCGCACTGTGAGTCGTTGAGACCAGAGAGCTTGTCTTGAATCTTGGATCCTTCCAATACCCCAGCCTCCTGGAACACTGAGGTTCCCGCATCATGAAATGGACCCATCTTGTCCTCTTGAATGTCTCCAGACATGAATGTTGCCTCAAACTCAAAAACGACTTGTTCTTGAGTTGCAATGTTCCTGTCCTTATTTTCTCCTCCGTCCACTTTGTGAACTGCCCCAAAAGTTTGTCCTTTTGGTAAATCTGGAGTCAAATATATGGTTTCCGTCTGCGTTGTAGAAAAAGTTTCCAGATTTTGTGTGGTCATGAGATTTGAATTTGATTGATAACTTCTAGAGATCATAGCAACATTAACTCCAGCACTTCTTCTACTCAAATCATCACACAAGCCAGACTCCGCTGCCTCTGTACTCATAGAAGGACACTCCAAGGGACATAGGTTCAAGTGCGACAACTTCACTTGGATGCTTTCTGACTGATATTCAACATCTTCGTTAGAGTTTGGTTCATGACAAGGTCTCTCGGAGTATGTGCACGCGGTACATCCCGAGCTTCGCTCTCGTGGAATACTCTCTACGTCCGCCATCGTGCGACCCGTCGCGTCTGCCGAACCGGAAGCGCTCTGCCTGGGGAAGTTTTTGCTGTAGGTCTTAGATATCACGTGACAAGGATCTTTTGAGACAGTTACACTTGATGAAGACAGTTGGTGTTTAGTGACGTCAGTCAAGCCCTGGGCAGAAGGACTCGAGAGGTCGGACAAGGTCAAGGCAGAATGAAGTCTATGTTTGAGCAGATGCACACGAGAGCCTGATCCTTCGGAAGAAATGTCATCTTTGTCCTCACCAGAACCCGTGTGTTCTTTTACATGTTGCAGCGATCTTTTGGCGCTCGGGATTTTCTGAGGAGAAAAGAGGCTAAGGAAGGTATTGTTATAGCATGGTCGCAGTGTCTTCTTATCAAAGTCGAACCCTCGGGTTCTTTTAGCATTCGAAGCTAGTCTATTCAATGAAGCTAGTCTATTCAATGAAATGAACGTAAATGCGATATATAGGTGGAACCCCCCCCCCCCGACCACTTTCTCCACAAAATTAAGAAAGACTTATTGTGTTGCAAGTACCGTAAAACGCATACTAAAACTGAAGCTAAGTAATCAAAGAAACAAAACGAAAGAAAATATAGAGTCAAATAAATAACAAACCAGTTCGAAATCCTTCTGTCTGTAGCTAAGAGTAATGTCTATTATAAATGACAGACTAGACAACGACAACAGCAGCAGCAACAACAACAGCAATAAAAACAATAATAACAACTTAAACAACCACAACAAACAATAGCAACGACAACAACAGCAGCAAGAATAACAACACATGCAACAGCAACAGCAAGAAAAACAACCACAAAAATAACATCGATAACAGCAAAAACAGTAACGGCATCATCATCATCATCATCATCATCATCATCATCATCATCATCATCATCATCAACAACAACAACAGCAACAACAACAGCAACAACAACAACAGCAACAACAACAACAACAACAGCAACAACAGCAACAACAACAACAACAACAACAACAGCAACAACAACAACAACAACAACAGCAACAACAGCAACAACAGCAACATAGCAACAATAACAACAACAACTACAAAAACGACAACAAAGACAACAAAAAAACTGCTAACCTCATTCCGATTTTCGACCCCTTCCAATGTCTCCGCTCCACCCGGCTCCCATGGCGTCTCTCTCCCTCCTGAGACGTAGCAACAGTCTGCACCAGCACCGCCATCCCTACAAACGCCGTTCCCAACATCATCGACAGCAACAACAGCAGCAGCAGCAGCATCACCACCTTCATCGTCATCATCATGACATCCTTCAGCTGCGTCTGCAGCAACAGGCACCATACCATCGACGCTGTAGACACCACCACTCCAACCACCACCACCACCACCACCACCACCACCACCACCACCATCATCAGCGACGTTGTCAATAACATCAGTGATTGATGATCGGATGTCGTCCACTTCCATCAAAGACGAAGACTCGGAGATAGTTCTCACAGCATTACTCGTCTCGTCAGTCTCTCTTGGAAGCACGAGTAAAGAGATGGGTGGGGGCGTGGGTGGGGGTAAAGCTCAGAGAAATTATTATGGTTTTAACACATTTGGACAAGCTCGGGTTGCAAAATACCGCTGTGACGAAAAATACGTTATAGAACTTTGTATAAAAAGCATTTTGCTAACCGGAGTCTGATGTAGGGGTTAGGCGCTTTTCTGTTGCACGCAGAAAACGTGAGTTCAGTTCTCGAGTTGGATACATTTTGTTTCCTCATATATCCGTCTTAATGCTGAGACATTGCACCTCTCTCATACCACGTTCCAGGTCGGCCCTGATCCCCCCAGGAAGACTTGCATTACTTCCCATTAGCATCATTGGCACTCCCTCATACCAGGACTTGACTTAGTTTAGTTCTTGTAAGAGGTTTACGGCATTTGCAACACAAACAAGCCGTATAAGTGCCGAAGATTAAATGTTTTACTAGAGCGTAACATACAAAGGAACGGAGGAAAGATATTGAAGATAGTATATTATGTGTTTTATAGGAAAGAAGTAGAAAATCACATCAGAGCACTCACTCGTCCGTTATTCGTTAGCAGCAAGAACCTCCTTCTGCCATCTGTTGTTTGTCAAATATTTTCTCAATCAGCAATAGCAACATTCCCAACAACCCCCCCCCCCCCAGTTTAAAAAGACAACATGGGGATTCGAACCACGGTGATACTCTCCGTAGCCCAGTATGGTACCAAATGAGCTAACTTTGTACCCTGGAACAGCACCATCTTCTGAAGCAGCAGCGACAACAACAATCAGAATACTACAAAAGCGACAACAACACTATGGCAGCGACACAGCAGCAACAGCAACAACAGCATCACAACAACAGTAGAAACATTGGTTAAACACACTGTCAGAAGCACAACCGGACTAGAATATTCTAACCCTCCATCCTTCGTTCTCACTCGGTCTCCATACTCTCTCTT